TTGGTGCGCGATAATTTTTGCGACCTCAACAACCGTGCCTCACATCAACCGCTGCTTTGCAACTTCATGAAAGTGTGCATGTCATCAGTCAGACGGCATCGCAGCCGAAGCCACCAAAACAGCATGGAGGTAGCCTCTGCCAGTCTTCTGCACCGTGTGCTCCAGGGATGCTGTGCCGTTCTGCGAACCGATGGCAGCGTGCTTCACAACATTTCAGTCAAGACTATTGATGAGCATGGCTTGAATCTGCTCGTGGGTGTCCTATAAAGGCAGCCAGGGACCTCTGCTTGGCTTTTGCAAGCCTCCGCACAGGCTTGGCCGCTCGTTTTGTCGGACGCTGCCAAGCTCTGGAGGCTGTATGGACTTTGGAACAATAAAAGTCGTGATGGCGTGAAGTTACGCACGGTCGTCATGCCGCTTCAGTAAGTCAGACCTTCTTAGCGCCTAGATATGCCTGGATCCTCCGCACCGAGGGTTCCGGGTTGAAGCGAAACATCCCACCTGGCTTTCGTGGCCAGAGGCACAGCTGCTTTGCCGGAGGGTGGCGAAGAGGCGACCTTTCCGCGAAGTGGCGCCATTGCGACGCTCCCTGGGTCTCTGCTCCAGGTGGCTGCGTCCGTCTCGCGGACAAGCCCAGCTCTAAAGTGTGATCTGAGTTTGACGGACTTCCTACATGAGTAAGAAGATGAAATACTCGGGTGAGCGATGCCTGTTTGATGGCTCCTTGTAGGTGTTAAATGTCTCAAACGAATCTGGCTGAGGCGCCCCCGTCGTGGCAGCTGCCCGCAAGGCCAAGCGTGTGGCAGAGCGCCTCTGCAGCATTTTGTTTTGTCACCCACGCTCAGTCGCATGTAGCCCACAATGCCAGATAGCACCCGGCAGACTTTTCATCTTACATGATTTTGGTCTGGCTGTAATGTTGCAGGCTTCCGGCAGAGAGGGTGGGGTGGAGGGTGGACGGGTGTTGGGTGGAAATCATTTCACCACTTGCTTGAATGAATGCTTTCAGCCGCGACGAGGTATCAGCGGATGCAGCGACAGAGTTTGATCGATGCGTCTGCTGCGGGCTTGCTCGGTGCAGACTCCTCGGGTTGAGTTTTGCGAGTGAGCTTCGGCGCAGCCAAGAGCTAGCAGCTAGCAGCTGTGCATTCGTCGGGCCTGCTTCTGCACTTTGCTGCGAGATGGGAGGTGCTCTGTTGGCCTACTTGAACAACGGAGTGGACGCTTCAGAGGCTCGGGCTTGTACTGTTGTGGTACCAAATGAGACTTGCCTGTGAGCTGCTGTACGCGCATGTTTCATTTATCGTCTGGCTTCATCAGATCCACACCGGCTCCGGCATTGGATAGCACCATCCCTTTCTGCAAGCAACCGAAGCCGCATTGTCACTGCGAGCTCAGGGCTGGCTGGTTGGAGTTGCCTTTGGAGTACTCTATCTGCTGATCTTGCAGCAGGACGTGGCCAAGGCAGAAGGTTGTGCCAGATCGTGGCATTGCTAGCCTGCCTCCTCATGCTGCAACTCGCAGTTGTCCGCGGAGTGGAACCCGTTCAGCGTGACAAATCCGCTGCGGAGTCAGAGCACCCAGCCATGGCTCTCTGAGCGCGAAAGCGGGCTTAAGCGTTTTGATTTCTTGTCCTGCTGGGTTCTGATAGTTTTAGGACTTCGGAGAAGCCAGGCCAAGCCCAGGCCAAGCCAAGGCCAAGCGCCGGGTTTGTGAAGCGAAAGCTCTCGCACTTAGCACTCCCAGTCCTGCGCTTCTTGCTGCCGTTTGGGCTGGTGCTGGCCCTTGGCTGTCGCCCCAGAGAACAGCTTGTGGGGACTTTCTAGAGCATCGCTCAGCTTGACCTGCTTGGAAGTTCGGGGCTGTATTGTCTCTCTCGAACGGTCGGTGATGCCTCGGCAAGGTCTGCAGTATGCTGGGAGCTGAGATGATGAGACCCGACTTGCGCATTACATCACCCGACAGGCCGAAACAGCTTGAAGTTCGGACTTAGGGGTTGGTCTAAAGTTACCCTGTGCGGTTCCTAGGTTGGGAGTACAGAGGGATGAGGTTACCGGTGTTGGGTCGCGGCTTCAGCTGTGGCGTGGCGCGCATTTTCGACTCACGTGCCTTCTGTCCCGGGGCCGGCCACGTCCGAGCGCCCGAGTTCATGACGTGTTCATTTTGGCCTTCAAATCGCACGAAGTTGCCACAGTTGTGCCAGAGCCACATTCGGCTCCTCGAGTTCATTGAAGTTTTTCATGGGTTTTCGCCTTCACAGAAATCCTCCGGACAGTTTTGGGAGTCTTGCCGCCTCTAAATTCATGTTCAACGGCGACGGTCCACAGAGTCTGCGCCTGTTTTGGGGTTGTGAGCATTTTGAACGCATGAGGGGAGCCTTTAAATTCGACAGTGCTCCTGGAAGGCCTTGCACTGCTCGACTTTTCATCGGCAGAGAGGCAAAGCTTAAAGTTTTCATGACGGCAGATTCTCCCGGCTTAGCAATGCATGAAGTGGGTGTTGCCGGACGGACAATGGCCGAGGCATCATCCATTGGCTTTGATGCGGCCATTGACCCGGCCCATTTCTGCGCTGGTGACCCTCTAGATAGAGGGTTTGTCTTGAGCATGCGACGATGGCATGCTGAGCAGCATGCTTGTGTGGGATCATCATGTCCACGTTGGGCGGCAGCTTTGCACCGGTTTCAATGCAAAGGAGTCCCCTCCCCGACTATGAGCAGCTGTTGAGGAATTGAAGCTGTCTCTTTTGCCGGGGGTCGGGTCCTCACAGCTTTCGCCCAGTGGCTGGAGCGGCTTGCCTGGGAGCCGGGAGTGAATTTCACAGGCGGCGCTCTCAAAGGGGACTTTTTGAAAGGAACCTTCCGAAGGGTGCGCAGGGCTCGGGTGCTACGAGATGCCTGGAATCATACAGCCTCAGCAGGCACCCTAAAGCCTCCGAAGGCCTTCGAACAACAACTGCAGTCAACACGGTCAGGAAGATGTGCGTCGCTGTCCGATCTATCTCCCAGCAGTGACGATCATAGTCCTCACTGATTTGCCCCAGGCCGTACAGACATACGGAGATATCTATATTTGCATAGAAATAAGTTCTTCACAGGCTAGTAGACAGAAGTCCCTCCATAGTTGATCTAATTGAGTTATGTAAGGGCTAAGTGTGGATTCCTGTGCTTGCCTAAACATGAACCGAGTTCGCCGTGCTTGAGTGGGCATCTCTGCCTGGCTGTCTCGCTTCTGTTGCCCAGCCCGTGGACCGTGCTGAAGATTTCGCACTGCCTTGCAGGTGTGGTCGCCTCACGCTCATCCCTGTTCGCAGCCCTGGTAGGCCTGGGACATCCTGCAGGGCATGTGAGGAATTCTGAGATCTAGACTTCCACATGTCAGCACTTTGAGTCCGGTTTGCTTAAGTATTTGGGACTCCGTACATGGCAAGCAGCGCATCCTGCAAGGCTACGTGGTCTCTTCGGCAGTGCTTCCGCTGCCATCGCCTCGGTCTCCAGGTTTCCGTGCTGAGCATGGGCTCTTTACGATTGCCCAGCACCTGCACATCGGGGTCAGCATTTCGCTCGCACCTTTATGGTCAGTGTGATACTGTAGCCCTTGGCAGGGGGGGCTGACTCAAGTTTTGCAGACATGCTGAGATGCGGGTGTGATGACAGTAAATTGTGGGGGTGAGTTGCTTGTGGTGCCGGGAGAGTTCGGTGCGTTAGTGCATCCAGGCGAGGGCTCTTCGAGACACTGCCAGAGGCTGGCTCGGAGAGACTTTCACCTTGGTGGCAGAGGGTCACGGTTAGGACTAGGTCGAGGACGTTCGGATGACTTCGAAGCCCATCAACGCCCCATGTTCTATCTCGGAGCCTTCAAGTCGTGCTCCCTGAGTACTCGCCCGTGCCACTCGGTGCAGGCACGAACTCTGGTCAAGGCTGTCCCGGGCTCGCTGGGCGTGGCGCTGCAGTTGGCAGATCAGGTGCCTGGGATGATCGCCATGCAGGACAATGTCACTCCGTTGTAGTGATTGTATGCACAAAAGTGCCATCAGACGACAAGTGTGCAGAGTACAGTTGAGTACAGCTCAACAAGCAAATCTACCAGACAGATTCCAGCAGCTATGGCCATGACGCTTCGACTTGAGCCGTTGGCTGATGAAGGTGCCCAGCAAGGCTCCTGCGGCAGCGAAGGTACCTGTTGAGGTGCCCCTTGCAGGATACCATGCGCTTAGTTTTTGGTCGAACGATGTCCAGATGTGCCCCGAGTGTTGCGTTGAATTTGGAAGTTTCTTTCGACGCCTCTCCAGCCTTGGCTTTGCTTCACCGAGGTGGTGCCAGTCCTGCTGATCACGGGGCCGCGGGGCTGCGGGAAGTCCACCCTGGCTGAACAGCTCAGGCAGGGCAACTGAGCAGAGGTCGTGGGTTTGCGGAATAGCCAGCTTCTCCCAGGCACCAGGATTCGCGCTTCCAGGAGCCCGAGTGGGTGCGGGGCCTTGACAGCCTTCGCTGGTCTTTTCAGGCTTTAAACCGTCTGCGCTCCATTCCAAATAGGTGATGGTCTCCAGGCCGTGACTGCTCCTTGCTGCCGCTGCCGCGGGCTCTACGAAGCTTTTGATGAAACCTAGCCCATAGTGGCAGCTTTTGTCCAAGCCGGTTTTGAGAATCTCCTACCAACCATCCCTTCCTGCAAGGATCCCGTCGTTTATGTTTCAGCTGAAACAGTTTCATGTTACAAGCTTTTGCAACCTCTTCCACGGCATGGCTTGCATGGCATTTGCATGTCGGCAGCTGGCATTGCAACTTTGCCTGAACTAGTGCACAGGGCCACTGGGCATAGAAAGCCTCATCAGAACATATCAGAACAAGTACAGCATTTCCTGTCATTAAGGAAAACAGTGCACAATGCCAGTGACAATGGCTGACGCATGCAAATATCGACCTCTGCCTCGGTCGAAATGCCCGACCCATTCCATCACCGAAGCACAGGTACCAGTGTCGCATAAACACGACTCGCAGTGAATGCTTAGAATGCTTTCTTGTCCTTCGTACTCTTCCATCCAACATCACCCCCCTCCAAAGCTAGCTAGTCGATGAAGCCGAGAGTTGCCTGGCCTCGGCGAGGCCATCTCGCCTACCCTCCACATGCCGGGCTTGCGCTTCTTGCCCTGAATCGAGAGTTGGGAACCGGAGGGTTTTGAGATGTTTTGAGTTTGTTCAGGCATGTCAGGAGGTGTCGACGTGAGGTCTTCTTTGTGTCCACGTCTCCAGAGCCGAGGCAGGGCACTTGCGCACGAGTGTGCGCTACAACACGATGACAACGGACCGGGGCGGCATGACCGAGGTCCGGCCGAAAGCTGCATATCCGAGCGACCGAATTGAACAGTCACACTGAGACAATGCCAGGCGATGTACAACTGGAGGGTTGCGGCTGTGCACAACGCCTTGAAGGAGATGGGAAAAGCGACTGGAGCTCCTTGGCAAGAGAACCCAAACGAAAGAGACGGCGTGCACTGCAGGCTCCGCTTAAGCTAGACTCGCTCTCGTTGAGACTGAAAGCTTGCAGCCGACTGCCACGAGGCTTTGCACGTGACGGATCTGACAGCTCTCGGACACCTGGATCAGTATCACTACGGTGGTATACAGGCAACATCCGAACATCGATTGTGTTCGACTGGCGAGACTATCCGCCACGTAGACCTGCAGCTGCTAACCCTCGCAAAAGCCATCGGTCGAACTAAGGTTCCTGAGATTCTTGAGCAGCCATGAATCTGTGAGACTCTTGAATAGTTACTGGTACTTATGATGGAAGCTCTTCCAGTCATGCGTCCAGTCAGTGCCAGACATGTCCCAGGTAGAGACAGCTTCAGCAAACTCTGGTCTGAGACCTGTTAGTCTGAGCAGGGGCGGAGGGCACACAGCCTGGGCAGGCTAACGACCATGTCATCGAGTTGCTCGGCCGGGTGCTCAGACGGTCGGCTGAAGCTGAGTCAGTTCTCTGCATGAGTTCCCACGCTTCCACGGCTTGCAGTATCCTTCTCAGCGGGTTGGACGTGCTGTGTGGAACAAGATGTAAAGACACCCCCAACCCTAGATCCTGCAATGGAATTGAAGGCCGTGTGCTACCTGCAGCTCGCCCTAATGGCCCCAATCATTCGTTCATCTCCCATGTGGAGCCCTCCACCGTGACATCCAGTGACAGCTGCATACGTCCGCGCCTTCTTGTGCGGCGCCAGGAATTGATAACACGGTGCATTGCCTGGATGTTGGCTCTGGCATCGGTGGTCCTGCGAGGCCATGGCCACAGCTTTGAGGACTCGGGGAGTCAATGACGGTCTCGGATTCAGAAGCCATGGTGGAGGGTTTATTCTTTCTTCCATCCCCTACAAGGCACCCGTCCCGCCCCATGCCTGGTGGAAGACAACTCAAACCACGAAGTCCAGGTATATCGCCAGCAAGACCGGGTGCCGGTTGACGGGTGTCGAGCTACAGCCAGACATCTGCCGTGCCGGGCAGGTTGGCGGTCAATGTCGAAAGTTAAGGGTTTACGTTCGCGCACAGAACTCTACATGTGAGAAGGTTGGCCCCAACTAGTTCCCTAAGATCTGCAGGCGATTCTGAAATTGAGGGAGTGACCCCATGTAAGCCATGCAGTAAACCTGGCTGACTGGCGAAGCCTATGCTATGCCGGCTTTACGAGCTCCATGCTTCGAGCGGTGGCACAGCAAAAGACTCCCTTGTCCCTAGGAGCTGACAGAGCGAGTACCCGGGCTTGCGGACAGGGTCAACTTCATGGACGCTCACGCATGTTCTTGATTGCAGAAACTGACAGTGCTTTGAAGCTGAGTGCCCGCGTTTAGCCTTTCCAATCCAGACCGGACCTTTCTTGCTCCATGCTGATTGCCAGGTCGGTGACATCATTACGCTGTCGAAGACCAAGGAGATCCCGGACGAGACCTTCGACCACTTCCTGCCGGCAGCCCAGAGTTGTAGTGGGCCAGTCTGCAGGACAGAGAAGGGTGATACTCATCGGAGGTGCAGCAGTGTAGCATGTTAATTATGTTGTGATTTGAGTGGTTGACAGTGGGTCCTGTCCCCGTTTGGGTGTTAGGTCTCAGATTCTGATGGTGCAGTTAAATGGGCATACACTGCAGTCTCAACCGTGCGGTTCGCGCAAAGGGCCTCGTGCTGTCGCCAAGGTCACTCCTCGTGTTCTTGCACCTTGGCGACCGCATGTGGCTGCAAGCTGTAGTCTAGAGCTCACCGCAACGCCCTTGCAACATCCCAAAACGTAAGGAGGACCTTGGCAGGAAGATCTCCGCCTCGGGCCTCAGCCCCCAAGTTTCACCGAGGCACATCCCCGATCGAGCGGGACTCCTTCAGGCTCCGTTTCCCGTGGGGAACTGCCGAGTCTCACTTTTTGGCGGGCCGGTTCTTGGAGGAGTAAACTGTGCCATGTGCAGCCCCAACCTGGTCTGCAAGACGTTTGGGCCCTTCCTAGTGCGCGCCTCATGCGACATAAGTTTCACAATGCTGCGTGCCGTCGATGCTGGCGACGAACTATATGCCATGCGAGGTTCGTTTTCGTTTTGAAACCGCATGTTTTTTTCTTTCTTCGGCGCATTCCTGGTCTTGATGCGGATGATATCCGCAACCACGAGCTGGACTCGTGTTTGCAGGTCGTATGTCGCATGGGTCACAAGCGGGAAGGATGAAAGCTGAAAAACCACATGAAACCACCCAAGTTCATTCTTCTCAGAAAGTTTTCCTGGCTGGAGCGGGTTCACAAGCAGTTTGCATTCTACATAAATACTACGTTCTGCGTGTTTGCACATCATGATGGCTGCCCTAGAGGTTGATTCAGACGTATATTCTCGCACGTCGCCGCGTGTGTGCCTGCTAGTTATCTGCACCTATTTTGGGGGTTCAGCCATGTCTCTGTGGCGACAGGCGTGCCATAATGCCACGAAGCCTGGTGGTACGTTTCTCATTGAAGACTTCGCGGCCAAGCCAGGCCAGGCCGTATCAAAGGGTGTGCCTTGAAGGGAGGATGGGAATTAAGAAGCTGAAGCTGGACAAACAAAGTGATGGAGGAGCATTTCGAGCATTGCCTGTCTGTTCTCCAATCGACCTGATGTCTCGCACAGTACTACTGCTACTACCTACTGCTACTGTTACTTCTAGTGCTGGTACCAGTACTACTGGTGCTAGTGCTAGTACCAGCACTCGCACACGCACCAGTACTGTACTAGTCCACTACTACGACGACGTGGACGACCACGACGACGACGACGACTACTACTACTACCACCACCAACCTACCACTACCACTACGACTACAACTACCGCTACAGTACCACTTCCACTTCCACTTCCACTACGACGAGGACGAGGACGACGACGACGACGACTGCGACGACGACTGCTGCTGCTGCTGCTTCTGCTTCCGCTTCTACTTGTACTACCACGACGACGACATCCTGACTGCGACTGGGACGAGGCGACAGAGACGATCATGACGATGACGATGACGACTACAGCTACGACCTGGACGAAGACGTTGACGACAGCTGGAGCTGCTAAACTTCTCGTCTCCTGGTTCATTCGTATTCTCCGTATCATGCAATTTTAACTTGCTGGAAGTTGATGTCCCGGAAGGCAAGTCCTTCACTGAGCTGGAGCGATCTTCCTTGCTGGATGTTGTCTCCGCACCCACAGTGCCTTGGTCTATCTGCAGTCCATGCTCCAGAGATTTGCGGTGTCGCAATTTCTACGTGAACTCTTATCTTGTGACGTGCTGATGCTTCCTCAGGTCACAACACCAGAACAGCAGCCTTGCAGCAGTCGAGAATAGTGGAAACAAGAGGATGACATCGTGTGATTCTGGTTGAATTTGAGTCATCAGTATGTGCTGTTTCTTCCGAGAGTGCTTTTAGGTCAGATGCTCGTAAGCTTTCGCACGTCTTTCAGGGTTCATTAAACCCCAAGGTACGTCGCCGACTTGCATGCGGCCGGCTTTGTGGACATCAGAGTGGTGGATCTCAGCGAGCAGTGGCGAAAGTGGACCAAGGAGCGGGCATTCGTGAGTACACGACCCCTGGGCCTTTCAGAAAGCCCTCAGCCAGATTTACGCGCCCGGGTTGGGGGGTTACACAGTCAGCTAGGAAGCTAGGAAGGATGCTCCCAAACTGGCAGGTGCTCTCATTCAGGGATTCGAGTGCAGCCATGGCAAAGCGATGCTTTGTTTCCCCATGTTTCCCCTTCACATTCCAGAGAGCTAGTGCCCCTGGAAGGCTCGACACGCTGCTGTGGTCGCAATTAGCATTCGTCTTTCTGGAGGCGCACGAAAGACCTGCATGCGCCTGCCCTTTTTTTGAACAGCGCCGTTGCCAGATCCTCTCCCGTTTTGCGATTTTCGCCCGGCGTGTGTATCCTTCGACTGAATCTGTCGAAGAGCCCAGGACCTGTATTTCGAGTCGAAGGATGAGACGTTGAAAATGCATGGGGAGGCGGTTCGTTGTGATGCGTTCTGTGGGATCCGCGCAGTGTCATGGGTGGCTAGTCCCTGTGATTGAACCAGGGTTCTTGACTGAGAAGGTGAAGTCAATTGTCCGACCACCGCATGCCGCATGCCTGCAGCAGGCCATTTTCAATTCGAGACTACACTTCTACAAGGTCGTCATGGATCTTTTCGTGCACATCTCAGTTCAAGGTGGTACTTTCGTGCCTCTGCAGGGCTCACATGATGCCTTCGTCTCGTGCCGGTTGGACAAGGTTCAGTAGTGAGTAGCCACCGCCCCCTCACGAAACAAAGCGTGCGTTTTCGCCAAGGATGAAAACCTGGGCGGCGCGACTTGGACCAAGTAGAAGTCGTCACCGCTTCTGTCCGCTGCAGCCGTTACTGGTGCTGCTCCTGCTCCTCCTTCTCCCTGCACTGTGCTCGGAAGGGATGTTCTGCCCACACCCGCCCGGGCAAGGACAGTTCATTCAAGGTTTTGCGGTTTGCATGGGCAAGATCTTCAGTGCGAAGCTTGCCAACCAGAATCGGCTCTTAGGGTTTAGGGTTCGCCTTCAGGGTTTGAAAGCCAACATCTTTTTTTCCAGGGGCTGGGGTTTGCCAACCAGCATCTCCGTTTTAAAGTTTCGGGTCTCCTTTTAGGGTTTGGTTGAAGTTTGCCTATCCGTTTAGAGTTTAGGGCCTCCTTTCAGGTCTTAGGGCTTAGGGTTCACCAACCAACGTGTCTTAGGGTTTAGGGTTTAGGATTTTGCAAACGAATATCATCCCATTTTAGGGTGCCGGGCTTGCAAGCCAAGTTCTGCTTTTAGGTTTTGGGATTGCCAACCAACATCCAGGTTCTACAGTTTCTGTTTGCGGCTATGGCATTGTCTTCGATTCGGTGTAAGATTTTGTTTTGGGGCGGGAAGCATTTGGCTTTGCTTTGGCTTTTGACCTGAGAACAGTAGCGATAACTTTCGTTTCAACAGCAGATGGTCCTGAGCCCTGGTTGGCACTAGTACATATTATATTGCCATTCACAGTTCCAAGAAGCAAAAGTGTGGGCAGTTCCGCCCATGCAACAACCGCAGCAGCGACAGCAGCAGCAACAGCGGCAACAACAGCAACAACACCAACACCACCACCATCACCGCCGCCACCGCCACCGCCACCCCCACCACCACCCCCACCACTACCACCACCAACCCACCACCCCACCACCCCACCACC